GGACCTTGAATTCATTTAACAAGTTATTTCCTTTATGTGTTAATCCCTGCAATTAATCCAGGCCACGTTCCAAGCACTCCAGGAGCGGGGTTGGATTTACATACCTTGGATCCTCGCTGGCCATGCTGTCAGGAATAACAACTATCCCACTCTTGGAATCTCAAGTGGCTCCTGGAGGGCTCTGGATGCCGAACAACAGCAGTGTCTCACCTGCTGCATATTCCAGGCAAAGCTGAGTGCTCAGCACCATCACACACGTGAGACAATGTGCTCTCTAAAGCTGGATGTCCTCTGCACACCTGGCAATGCCAGGGAAACTCCAGGGCAAACTCCAGGGGAAAACCATTTCTGTGGGAACTCTGCTCAGCTTCTGTGACTCCTCCTCTTCAGAGCTGCAGGAATCCCTGCAGAGAAGCCATGGAAACACCAGGGAGTGCAGCTGCAGCCCCTCACCCAGCCTGTGTTCCCAGGAATCCCCAGGGAAGCTGCCTGGAGCCCCCAGTGCCTCCAAAACTGTCTCACACTTCCACATCATCCACAGCTGGAGTTTGGGGCTGGAAGGGACCTCAAAGTCCACCCAGTGCCACCCCTGCCATGGGCAGGGACACCTTCCACCAGCACAGGTTGCTCCAAGCCCCGTCCAACCTGGCCTGGGACACTTCCAGGGATCCAGGGGCAGCCACAGCTTCTCTGCCCAACCTGTGCCAGGGCCTGCCCACCCTCCCAGCCAGCAATTCCTTCCCAATATCCCATCTCTCCCTGCCCTCTGGCAGTGGGAAGCCATTCCCTGTGTCCTGTCCCTCCATCCCTTGTCCCCAGTCCCTCTCCAGCTCTCCTGGAGCCCCTTTAGGCCCTGCAAGGGGCTCTCAGGTCTCCCTGGAGCTTCTCTTCTCCAGCCCTCAGATCAACTCAGTGGCTCTCTGAGGTTGGTTCAGAACTCTCAGGTTCAGGCTGGGTTGGCTTCCAATCAGAAAACAAGAAAACAGTTGAGAAGTTTTGAAAGCCCCTGGCTCATATTTTAGAAAAGCTCCACATCAGTTAAGCAGAAAACACCCCCTGTTCTTCCAAACAAGTAGATGGTACTTTTATTTATAGAAATCTACTTATGGGAATATTGAGACAGAGACTGACAGCACAGGAGACATTCCAGGCAGGGAAGTCTGCAGGTGAATGTGTTAAACCTGCACAGGTAAATCCCAGAATAGCTGGGGTTGGAAAGGACCTCTGGAGATCACCCAGTCCAACCCCCTGCCCAGGCAGGGTCACCTGGGGCAGGTGACACAGGGAATGTCCAGGTGGGGTTGGAATGTCTCCAGACCCTCCCCAACCAGCTGTTCCAGGCTCTGCCACCCTCTATGGAAAGAAGTTCTTCTTATGTTGAGGTGGAACTTCTTGTCTTTTCGTTTCTGGCCACTGCTCCCTCATCCTGTCACTGGCACCACTGAGCAGAGTGTGGCACCATCCTCTGACAGCCCTTGGAGATAAATACAATCACCTTTTACCACTGAAACCACATGAACCAGGGAACTGCACTGAGGGCTGTGGTGTGATTCCCACACTCTGTTGCTGGGGGACTTTGGATAAGTCATTTCTAAGGATATCAAAATAATTTAACCTTAATAATCCAAGTGCAGTAACCAGCAGCCTCTCGTTCTCCACGGGCTGCCACAGTGCTGCTGCTGAAGGCACAGCTGCCAGGGGAGGCTCAGGTTGGCCCTGAGGAGGAATTTGTTGCTGGAAAGGGTGGTGAGGCCTTGGCAGGGGCTGCCCAGGGAGGTTTGGAGTGCCCAGCCCTGCAGGTGTCCAAGGCAGGCCTGGCCGTGGCACTCAGTGCTCTGGGCTGGGGGACAAGGTGGGGATGGGGCACAGGGGGATCCATGGGCTGGGAGGGCTTTTCCAGCCCCACTGATTCTCTTTTCTATCATCAAGGTCATTAAAGAAAAGATGGAAGTGAAGCAGAACGAGAACAGACCCACCAGACCGTGGGGGACCCACACTCAGCACAAGCATTTCCTTTGGACAGCCATCAATAAGGAGCCCCCGGAGGGAGCAGCGTGGGGCACCCCCGGAGGGAGCAGCGTGGGGCACCCCCGGACACTCCCCAGGCCCCTCGGGCTGCTCCGGCGTGACACAGCAGTGTGACCACAGGCGCTGTGACAGCCAGCACTGCCCGCTCGTCCTCACAAACATCAGCCTTGGGGCAATAACCCACACCCAACCCCACGGCTCGCTCAATCCCCGGGCTCGGTTCCGCGGGCGGTGACGCCGCCGAAGCCAAACCCCAGGGGTTTTGGGCTGAATGTGCGGTTCGGGTGGTGTCACCCCCATCCGGGCCCCACTCGGCGCCCACAACGACACTTCCAAGAACCCCGGAGCCCCGAGCGCAGCTGCAGCAGCCAAGCAGGCGCTCAAAGGCCTGCCCTGCCCGGGACGGCTCTGAGGAGCCGCTCCCCCGCCACAGCACAGCGTGAGGGCGAGCGGGGGGCACCGCAGCACACGGCGCTGCTCTCCAGCCGTACCTCGCAGCGGGGAGTCCCTGCGGGCTCCGCTCCGGCTCCTCATCGATCGTCATCGCTCCTCATGGTTCCTCACCGACCCTCCGGG